CGACCACACTCTTATTTGATAAACTGTATTCAGGCTTAAAGCTTAAGTTTTATGGCTTAAGTTCACATTGTAGATCCTATTTATGATATATGAGATTCAAAGATAAAATTTCTCATATTATGCAGTTAGATCAACCTTTTCCGTTAATTAAAAGAATATTTTTGAACATCCATATAACTACATTTCAATTTCTTTTTACCTAAATTTCTTAGTTGAGATTTCTGTACTAATATTAATATATTAATTGGTTTTATTAATGTTATAAACTTAAATATTATCATTATACAAACTTAACCGACAGCTCTGAAAGATGTAGGAACTTTGCATCTATTACTTCAGAGGGCGCGTCGAGGAAACGTCACAGAATCTTCGAGTTTCTCAAATTGAATATTGACGATGACTGGATGTTGGAAATTTGAACTTGAATAATTGAGGCGAAGCAAGTCAAAATTGAAATTAGACGATTTATCGTGTTCTAATCTCTAATCCGCAATCCTCATTTATCAATATTTAGTCTGATGCGGACGTAGTCACTTTCAGGCTCCTTTCTGTATTTTCACATTTTCTTTTTTCACATCAAAATCGTTATTTCATATCAAGATTAATTAATCTTGATGTGGAATAAGAAAATTGGAAATGCAGAAAGGAGCCCGAAAGTAACTACGTCCGCATCAAACTAAATATTGATAAATAAGGATTGCTGATTAAAGATTAAAACACGATAAATCGTCTAATTTTAATTTTTACTTGCTTCGCCTCGATTATTCAAGTTCAAATCTCCAACAGCAGTCATCGCCAATACTCAGTTTAAGAAACTCGAAAATTTCTGTGACGCTTTCTCAATGCGCCCTCTGAAGTAATGGATGTAAAGCTCCTACAACATCTTTTAGTGTTGTCGGTTAAGTTTGTATAATAATATTTAAATTTATAACGGGTGCTTTCCAATTGCTTAACACATCTTGACACACACGTACACAAAACCAGTCTACTGATTACATATTATCTAAAATATCTTGTAAGATAATATGCAACCAATAAATTGGTTTTGTGCAACACAGTGTACGCAACTGGAAAGCACCCAACATTAATAAAACTAATTAATATATTAATATTAATTGATTTAATAATAATTATATATGTTACATTTACAATATATTATGCATATAATTATGCATATGCATAATTGAGTATAAAATTAGTAAAAAATAACTACTCATTAACGTTACTAAAGCCTGTATCAGACTATCGACTACAGGCCGATTCGACTGCCGACTACGACTGCTGATTCCAATTGGTCAATGCTAAAACGTAAAAATTATTTATATACGCTACTCAAAGATTACAATGCATATACCTTCGATACGGGCTTACGGTTAGCTACGACTCGAGTCGGCCGATCCAGTCAGTCAATGCCTCACTGTGATTGGTCTATTGAGAGTTGGCAATCGAGTCGGTCTGTGCTAGAGACCCTTCAATCCACGGACTAAGGAATAGAGGGACGGTGCATAACCTAGAGGGAAGAGGCACGTTCGCGGCGGGGGGGGCCGCCATGTTGGTTTCAAAGATTGTCGCACACATAAAACATGTACA